GTACTTAATATATCTAAGCCTCTAAAAATACTGGAAAGTGCTCCCACAGTGCCTGAATATTACAGGTGCATGTAGCTCCAAGTATAGAATAGGAGAAATGCATAAAAGTTAGAGTGACATAGATTTCAATTCAACATAAGGAAGAACACTTTTTTAATTTAAAAAAACCTTCGCCAAAACCTGAATAGTTGAGACAATTCATAAAGAATAGTAGAAAGGCGTTCTACAATAATTGGAGAAGATGATTGCTTTGATTTCTTAGTCATTCTAATATACAACACATGTTGGTCTAAAGGATTACTTATGGAATAATTTTTTTAAAAGCATGGCTTTAAGAATTAAAAAAATTATCTTTCTTTACGATCAACCTTATTGAAGAATAATTAAAGTACAATAAATGCACCCATTCACAATGTAGAGTTCTATGAATTTTGACAAATGTATATACATATACCCGTGTAATCACCCTGATCAAGACAGAACCTTTTCATCGCCCCAAAAAATTCTCTTGTGTCCTGTAGCAATCAATTTCCTCCAGCACCACTTCCTAACCTGATTTTTAAAACAACAGATTTATTGAGATATGATTCATACACTGTGATGTTCACCCTTGTAAAGTATACAATTCAGTAGTTCTTAGTACACTCACAAAGTTGTCCATTGATCACCATTAATTCCAGAACATTTCATCACCCCCCTGCCCCAACATCTCATACCCATTAGCAATAACCCAAAACCCCTGCCCCATCTTGGCAACAACCAATCTACATTCTATCCCTATAGATTTTTCAATTTTGGGCATTTCATATAAATGAAACCATACAATATGTGGCCTTTTGTGTCTGGTTTCTTTCACACAGTATAATATTTCAAAGCTCATCCATGTTGTAACATGTATTAATACTTCTTTTTTATGACTAAGTAATATTCCATTGTATGGATAGAAACATTTTATTTATCCATTCATCAGTTGATGGATATTTGGATTGTTTCCTCTTTACGACTATTATCAACAATGCTACTATGAATACTTGTTCACAAATTTTTGTGTGGACACATGCTCTCAATTACTTTGGGTATATACCTAGGTCCCACATTTCTGTCAGTTTGTAGTACTGTGGTAGCTTATATGCTGCTGTGATAGTGAAAGCTATGCCACTAGTATTTCAAATACCAGGAGGGTCACCCATGGCGGACAGGTTTCAGTGGAGCTTCCCGACTAAGACAGACTAGGAAGAAGGATCTGGCAGTCTACTTCTGAAAAAACACTGGTATAGTGCCAGAAGATGAGCCCCTCAGGTTGGAAGGTACTCAAAATACGACTGGGGAAGAAGCTGCCTTCCAAAGCAGAGTCGACCGTAATGACATGGGTAGACTCAAGCTTTTGGGACCTTCATTTGCTGAGTGGCATTAGTCAAAAGTAACAGCTGCAAACATCCATTATAACTGGAACATGGAATGTATAAAGTATCAATCTATGAAAACTGGAAGTTGTCAGAAATGAAATGGACGGCATAAAGATCAATATCCTACGCATTAGTGAGCTGAAATGGACTGGTACCGGCCATTTTGAATCAGACAATCATATGGTCTACTATCCTGGGAATGACAACTTGAAGGGGAATAGCATTGCATTCACTGTCAAAAAGAACATTTCAAGACCAGTCCTGAAGTACAATGTTGTCAGTTATAGGATAACATCCATACGTATCCAAGGAAGACCAGTTAATACAACAATTATTCAAATTCACACATCAACCACTAATGCCAAAGATGAGGATACTGAAGATTTTTTACCCACTTCCGCAGTCTAAAATTAATCGAGCATGCAATCAGGATGCACTGATAATTATCGGTGACTGGAATGCGAAAGTTGGAAGCAAAGAAGAAAGACTGGTAGTTGGAAAATATGGCCTTGGTGATAGAAACGATGCTGAAGACCCCATGACAGAATTTTACAAGACCAATGACTTCTTCATTGCAAATACCTTTTTTAAACAACATATAGGGTAACTATACATGTGGACCTCACCAGATGGAAAACACAGGAATCAAATCGACTACATCTGTGGAGATGACAGAAAAGCTCAATATCATCAGTCAGAACAAGGCCAGGGGCTGACTGTGGAAAAGACCATCAATTGCTCATATGCAAGCTCAAGTTGAAGCCGAATTACAACAAGTCTATGACAGCCAAAATACAACGTTGAGTATACCCACCTGAATTTAAAGACCATCTCAAGAACAGACTTGATGCATGGAACACTAATGACCAAAGACCAGATGAGTTGTGGAATGACACAAAGGACATCATACATGAAGAAAGCAAAAGGTCATTAAAAAGATGGGAAAGAAAGAAAAAACCTAAATGGATGTCAGAAGAGACTCTGAAACTTGCTCTTGAACATAGAATAGGTAAAGCAAAATGAAGAAACGATAAAGTAAAAGCTGAACAGAAGATTTCAAAGGACAGCTTGAGAAGACAAAGTAAAGTATTATAATGAAATGTGCAAAGACCTGGAGTTAGAAAACCAAAAGGGAAGAAGGAACTGAAGAAAAAATTCAAGCCTTGAGTTGCAATACTAAAAGATTCTACCAGGAAAATACTGAATGACACAGGAAGCATCAGAACAAGATGGAAGGAGAACATGGTACTACAGACAGAAGCACCAAGCCGTTCCTTTACAGCAAAGACCAAAAAAAATTAGTAAAACAGAGACAAACGTCACTCCTGGAACCTGTCAAATGAAGAGATAAAAAACTCAACCAAACACCGAATGGAATAAGAAACTGACAGAGAACAGAGAGCAAGGAGAGTTACGAGTGGAGGTCCCTTATCAAATAACGCAACACGGATCCACCATCTTGGACTCCTGTCAGAGACTGGTGGACAGGGAATACAGGAAAGCAGATTCACAGAGTTCTTAGCAGGAGACAGGGCACCCGGCAACCAGCGATACACGCTTTCCAGTCCTCCACCCACCTTCCCCTGCTCAGCCTTTGCCGCTTCCTGGCGGGCTAATCTGCCGCTTCCCAGTGGGCCATGATCGCAGCTTGGGAGGTGCCAATTCCGTGCTGCATAGATTCACCACGCCCACACCAGCT